TAATTATATTAATTCAACTGTAAACCTAAAAATTTACAGCCAATTTTGAAAATGATGCATCCTACCTCAGGAAACCGTTATTGAATATGTCAATTGTGTTGTAATGATATGCTTCTTCTAAGTATGTTGTTATTAAATAAATCATTTAAATAATAATAATAATAATAAATAAAACAAGTAATTTTTTTTTAAAGAGGAATGTTGCTGGGCGTGGTGGCGCATGTCTTTAGTCCCAGCACTTGAGAGGCAGAGGCAGGTGGATCTCTGGGAATTCAAGGCCAGCCTGGTCTACATAGTGAGTTCCAGGCCAGCTGGGGCTACAGGAAGACCCTGTCTCAAATAAATAAATAAATAAAGGAATAAATAAAGGAATGACAGAAAAGAAGTCTGAGTGTTTTCAACACAGACATGATTTTTTTCTATTATTTTCGGGGAGGTTTGTTGGAAACTCTTCCCCAGGGGCACTAAGGTTCCCAGCATGAAACTAAGCCACAGTGGTAGTGACCTCTGAAGAGGAACAAGGCCAGGGTGTGGACCCCAAAGCCTCACTGACCACATCTGGATAGGTCACAGGGCCCAGGAGACACTATCACTCACATCTGACCACAGCTGCCTCCTTCTCCATGTCAGATGGGACAGAGGAGCCAGACGTCAGTCATGAGTCTGCCCTGGGAAGCAATAAAGCCATTCAGCCGTGGTCAAAGTCCCGAAAGAGCCAACCAGTGAGCAGGAGAGGAGCACTGAGCCCCACAGGCACGGCACAACAGGTAGCAGGGATAAGAGAAAGCAACAGAGATGTGTATGGGGGTGCTCCTTGTTGTACAGCTGGGGGTCCAGGAGGGTTACACAGTGGAGGTGGCATCTACCAAAGGCCTGAGGGATGAGTGGGAGTTCTCTGGGGGCAGAGGAACAGAAGAAAGTAGGTGGTTGCATGCAACGGCACAAACCGGGTGAATGAATCAAGACCCAATCCTGTCTCAGGGTCCCCACCTCAGGAAGCAGTGCCTAGGGGTGCTGCAGTTCCAGGAACAGGGATGGACCCATCATTTGCTCCACAGCCCTTCAGGCTAGTCCAACCCAGTCAGTCAGGCCCAGGAAGCAGCCATAGCAAGCTGTTTAGAGTGCTCCTTACTGCTCTGGGTCACAGGGTGACCATGGTGGGTCTGAGCAGACAGTCTCCCTGCGTTAAAAGGAAGGGATCAGAGATCTTAAACAAAATCATGTCACTCACCCCGCATCGGACAGTTTGGAACTTTCCACAAAATACACACATTCCTTCTTCTTGATGTTTTCGGGAATCCACGAGCTGAGGTTTTCTTGCTGAGGGTGAAGAGGACACACTGGCATCGTGAGGCCACCAACCACAAACCCAAGGGCCCCCTCAGATGCAGCTCTGCTCCTCAGCCAGCTCTGTGGAAGGGCCCAATGCTATCTCAAAGCCTAAAAGCACCCTTGCCAGGGCTCTGAGTATGGACTCAGGATGAGCCTACGCAATTGCTTCCTCTAAGGATACTATGTGCTCAACACTTTACAGTTTATATGTACACATTGTCTTCCATGGGAATAACGTAGCGGGAAAGAATTGACCCTTAACAGTAGACTCCCTCCTCCCCTGCTCCCGCCCTGACCACATGTTCAAACGCATCTGCCACACAATCGTTCAAGGGCTTTCTGTGATGCTGGACTGGGACCTCCACAGTTGGATGGCAGTTGAATCATTGTTCAACAGGGAAAGGGGGGCTTCCATCAGCTGGCATGGGGCCTCTGTGTTCACCCAGCGATTTCCACTAGGCTGTGCAACACAGTGAGTAATCTGACCAGCACTGTATCTCCTCCCCAGCCTCTGCCCAAGCAGGAAACAAGCCCACCCTGAGGTCACCGACTACCTTGCAAAGCCTGAGCTGACCCAGATAATGGCAACCGCCTGGCCACCTCTGTGGTCAACGGACTGCTGCTGGCCAGGCAGCGGAAGCCTACCTTCTCACAGCTGAGGGGACACAGCAGCTTCCTGCTTTTGCAAAGGCTACTATTGCCTTGCCAGAGATCAGGGACCATGCCCAGATCAGTGGCCCTCCTAGGATGCACCCCAAAGCCTTCTTCCTGCTCAGATCCAGCTCTCCTGGGGTCCGAGGGCTCCATCCTCCGCAGCTCCAGCTTCAACCCACTTTCTGGAGGCCTTCAGGGGTCTCTTTTCATTTATGAAGTCAGAGGCTCTGGAAACACACTGTGCAGGAGAGATGTTGAAATAGATCAGAAAGAGGAAGATGTCTGATGTTCTGAGAGGACCCTCCTTTGCCAGTCTGTATATATCATCGTTCCCCCATCCCTACCCTACCTGTCTTCCAGAACACTGTCACTTGGCAGAGCTCTGAGCCCTGGGTGGGCATACAGTATGCGAGGGAATGTACACCCCTGGGCAGTATGCGAGCTACCGTACATCTGGGGTCCCTCAGAGCCTTGTCCTGAGGGTGGTGATCTGTCTCCGCCACACACACTCCCCGTGTGAGAGCCCAGACCAGTGAAGGGAGACAAATTATTTTGGGGCCATCACATGCCTTGGTGTGCCCTGAGGCTCTTCATTTCATGGTTACAGGCATCAGTTTAATTCTTTCACTTTCAAAAACAAAAACAAAAGCCTCTGCTGATCACAAGGAAGGTTTCAGGAAGTGTCACAACACTCCATCCTGAGAAGCCAGCCACTAACAGTCAATTCTGTTTGCCTTCCTCCTTGGCCAGATCTGTGTTGCTGAGACCCCAGAAAGCTGCTGGGCAGTTTTCCTCATTTCACAAGTAAAATTAAAGGTGTTCAGTCCTGCAGGGTTTCCTTGGGCCTGGAGTGACCGGAGGCTGTTCTTGAGCGACATCTTCGCCCTGCCACTCCATCAGGCATGATGCGGGGATTAACACCAGGCAAGAACTCCCTGCAACTTTCAGCCCCTCCCTGCCCTGAAGTCCTTTCTGGACACTGATTCTTCCATATCAGGTCCCTAGGATGTTCCTCTGCCTGTTGCTGATCAACACTCCTCCCTGGTCCTTCCAGGGCCCACAGTTGGGAGAAGGGTTCCAGGGCAGATGCTGTGGTCCCTCACCCTCCCATCTTCCTCCCCTGCTGTCCCCAGGTTCAACTCCTTTCCAGACCCCCAGAGCTGTGAGAATGGACACTGGCCAGCCTCCTGCACACCTGGGAGAATGCAGGGCCTGGCAAATCCCTGTGTTGTTTTCCAAGGCCCTGCTGTCCTGTACACTCATTAACCACCTATCTTGCCTCCATCCACCAAAGAACAAGAAAGACGACCAGGTGACAGAGGAAAGAAGCCAGTCCAGTAGCCAGCATGTAGCAACCTCAACTACAGGCAGCTGCCCTGGGACAGCCTGCCCTCCAGATGCTAGAAGCACAGTGGGCATGAGTGGGCAGTGTGGCCGAGGACTCTGTCTTAGGACTGTGAGGTGTTGGAATTCACAGGCTCACTTTCAGACAGTTGCTGTCACAGCACCATCACTGAGTATTTGTAGATGTCCTCCAATCCCAGCTGCAAATAGACCTGGGAGAGCCAACCCCCAAGAGATCCACTGCCCTCAGGCCATGCTGTGACCCTGGCTCAGCCTCTTTCCTTCCCCCTCCCCTACCCAAAAGGAGTAAATGCCTACAGGTGGGAGAGTCCTGAAACCCAAGAGGGACAACAACCTTAAAAAGTGCCCATCCAGGAGTGGTTAAGAGCACTGGCTGTTCTTACAGAAGACCTGGATTTGAATCCCAGCACCCACATGGCAGCTAACAACTATCTGTAACTCCAGTTCCAGGGAATTCAACACCCTCTTCTGTCCTCCATAGGCACTGCATGACACGGGTGCACTTACATACATGCAGGCAATACACTCATACATATAAACTAAAAATAATAAATAAAATATTTTTAAAGCCAGGCGTGGTGGCACATGCCTTTAATCATATATATATATATGGTGCCCATTCAACCTTCTGTGGGATTCTCTGGCCATAGATAAAGTTTTGCCTGCCCTGGCTTATAGCTAAAACTCTCCACAAGCAGTTGACATACATAAGGATTGTGTGTGTGTGTGTGTGTGTGTGTGTGTGTGTATGTGTGTGTGTGTGTGTGTGTGTGTGTTAAGAGCACTCCAAAGGTAACTGGATGAATGGACAGACAGAATTTGGCAGTGCCCACACCGCGGATACGCCCTTGGCTGGAGCACCTGCCAGAAAGCTGAGGCTGCTGAGGTAGACGGCACGTTGGAGCAGGGCATGCATGGCCCTATGTGGAATCTGACCTCTGCACACAGGTGCTGGTGGACACCCCAAGAAAGGGCCCAGATGTAAGAGGTGGGCAGTGGCCTTCCCTCCCCTGCAGCATGAGCCCAGCAGCTCCTCAGAGCAGACCCTGCTGAGACAGCCCCCTCCGAATGGATGTATAGCTAAACATGATTGAATTCTGGGCACAAGTCTTCCAAGCCTACTCAGGATCTCTGAACCCAGGATGTACCTGGGCACCCCACCCACCCCAGCTCACAAATGCAGGAGGAAATAGAAAGGATTTTGTTGGGGGGTGGCTTGTGAGCCCTGGCCGGTGGCTGGAACAGGTCTGACCCCTCTCCACC